GGAGTCATCGCGAGGATTTTTGAAGATGACCTCATAGTGAGCATTTAAATCGATATCAAACAGGTTTTCCACATAGTAAATCACGGTCACATTCCTATGATGACTTTTCTTGGTGAACCAACGTTCTAACGTGTCGTTGTCTTCTCCCATCAAATCACCCACGACTAAACATTGGGGCCCTTCGTCCAAATTACCAAACGATGCATTCAGGGGGGAGTATCAAAAAGCGACATTTGGAGAAATTTCTGCACAAAGACCGTTTTCCCTACACCCCTTGATCTGCTCACTTACATGGTAAAGGGGTGCTTGAATCACACGTCCATGGTGAAATAGATTTTCCCTTTCAGGACCGCTGACCTTTTATACCTAGTACCCATGGCAAGAAACAACAGACCAGATGTGTATAACATCTTTTTTTTTCATTAATTTACGATATATTTAACATTTCGTTGTTAATTGTTAACGAATTCAAAAATTTTAAACAGTAACAAATAACAAAGAATAGCAAACACAATAGCCAATGTCTTTTTTAGGACAGTTGCCCTTTTATACTACAGTACCCATGGCAAGAAACAACAGACCAGATGTGTATAACATTTTTTTTTAAATTAACATTAATTTATGATATTTAACAGTTCATTGTTAATAAAATTGTTAACGAATTCAACGATTTTTAAACAGTAACAAATAACAAAGAATAGCGAACACAAAAAAAGTCCATGAGCACAATAATGTCCAAATATCACTACGGCATAGGTATTTAATGCATGTCATATGCGTCAACACACGGTATACCTAATATACCGAACCGATCATCTTTTGTAAATCGTCGTCGTCGACCCAGTCTTGGACATCTTGTAGAGTTAACACTTGGAGTGCCCATTCGCCGTCCATCCAGTGTATGGGACTTTAATGGACGTAAAAACGTCTTTTATCGAGAATGTGACAAGCAGTCTTTGCCCATTCTCAGTATTTCGCTCTTTTGTCGTGCCGTAGGGTCACGGGTACGGATATGAGTGGGTAAGGCCGTGTAGATAAGTTTCAGAAACTGGTGGAAAATATTCCGAGTTTAAGTTTACACCCAAAACAGGGAAAATGCAAGCGACAGAGGTCCGATTCCTTATGTGGAGTTGTCTCCCTTTAACCGCTTAATGATTTTTTTTATTAATATTATCGTATAGTCCGTAATTTCGTCTTTGAGATTCTATGCGCTCTAAAATATGTTCAATCAAAATATACCTGATATAAACACCTGTGGCCACGTCCAAAAATATTTTAAGTTTACATCACAAACAGGGAAATCGCCAGGTACAGAAGTCTGATTCCAGGTGTGATATCGAATGAATGCAGTTATCTCTCTTAACGTGAATTTTTGTAATATTATCGTTAGTTGGTAATTTCTTCTTTGAGATTCTATGCGCGGTAAAATATGTTTAATATAAATATACCTGATATAAACACCTGCTACCACGTCCAAAAATATACAGAAAAATTGGAAAATTTTCCAAGTTTACACCAGATACAGGAGGTCTGATGAATGGAGTTATCTCTCTTTAACCGGTTAAAACAATTGCCTTAATCTCACCCGTAATGTATTCTGTTCGCTATGTGGCCATGTGGGCTAAATATTGACCCGAGATATACACTTGTCCCCATGAACAAATATATGTATAAATTTTAAAATATTCCAAGTTTATACCCAAAACGTGGATATCGTCTGCTGTGTGAGACGATTAAATCAATCAATAATCACTAGAATTCAAGATGGCGATCGAAGAGCGAAATTCTCCTGTAATAAATATTTTAATTCTCTTGTACTAAGCATTTTAAGTAGGCCGATAGAAGAATAAAGCTTTGTTTGTACTTATTTTACCTACATACAGGAATTAGAACTGTAGGAGGTCAAGTTGTCGATTAACGAGCGTCGTCTGCTAAGTGGATTAACTGTATATATTACTGCTACGCATGTTTCTTCAATAAACATAGCGATTTAATATATCTATTGATATACTTTTGCGTTTCTACATATGGAAATCAATATCAGTATTTTATTTATATAAAATAAAATGAAATAATTTCTGGTTAATAATATTTTATATATTGCTTGGATTTTGTTACCTGTAGATTAATTAACGTGCTAACAATATGGCGATTATAACTGAAGTCTTAGTCAACATGTAGTTTACGGCATTTTCTTACGCCAGCGATCATTAATACTTTAATTCACTTGAAATAAGTATTTTTAGTACAGAAAAAAACCCAATTTCCTTTATATATTGTTTCCATCTTATAAATAGAAGACAAAATATGCATATTTTTTTACCTACACATACGTCAAGGTATATATTAATTAGGTAACAAAATGGCGAATATAATGAAGTCCTTAATCCATTCTTGTATAGAAAATGCCGACATATATGGACCGAAACACGTCTACTTCTAATTGTAATTAATATTTTAATGCTCTTGTAATTAACAATTCTCTTGTAATTGATATTTTAATTCTCTTGTAATTAATATTTTAATTCTCTTGTACTAAGTATTTTAAGTGTAATAGAACAAACATGCTTTTACTTACATTTTCTAGATTAACGAGCGTCGTCTGCTAAGAGGATTAACTGTATATATTATGGCTACGCGTGTTCCTTCAATAAACATAGCGATTTGATATATCTATTGATGTACTTGATATATTTTCTACAAATGGAAATCAATATTAGTATCTTAATTATATAAAAATAAATAAAATAAGTACTGGCTGATAATATTTTATATATTATTTGGATTTTATCACATGCACCGATGTGGATTAACTGTATTTAACCGTTGTTATTTGATTTTATTAAATCTTTCATAATAGAATATATAGAATATGAAAATGTTTTTCATTCCAAATTTGGTAGTCCTGAAAAGGACTGTTTTTGATACCCTATTTAGGGTGTCGTTCAACCAAACAGGGCAGCTTTACAGCGCTCGAATTTGTTGCTGGTGAAACTTATCGGCATATGGTCGTAAAAACGTTCTCCTATCAAATGTACAATCCAGGACATGTACAAGCATAGTTTGGACATCTCCGACGAATTCAAGTGTACCCCATCCAACAAACTCTCCGAAAAAAACTCTTTCAGGTCTTGCTCTCGGTAGAAGCAGGTTAGTCCATAAAAAAGGTATCGACATTCACTCAGCCGACGTTTCATTTCTCTGTTCAATTTTTCTGTTTGTCTCCGATTCATCCTCCAGTCTCCGTATCTTGGATCTTTCCGTGGGTAACTGTTGATCCACACCCCCGGTACGTTGTAGCGGACATGGAGATTACGGAGGATGGCCAACAGTGTCTCTGCAATAAGCTTGGTGTCAAGCGACGGAAAAATATCATTTCCCCCCAAAAAAACGAAAATTATGTCCACGCCTGGAAATACGTCGAAGGCCGACGGCCTGTAGTTTGCGGCTGTGTACCCCGGCTTTCCATAAAAAAATAGTTGATGGGCACTTAAATCTGTTGCCGTTGCCCTACAAAATTTTTCTAATTTATTGACGTGTGACGAGCCTAAAATGGCGATTTTCATCTTTAATGATAACTTGTTCGTTCCTTGATTTTTACGTCCACTTCCACCAAAGGTGATATGGTGGACAAGAATGGGAACGCTCTTAAATAGACACATATATTGCCGGCTTTAGAAACCTTCGAGATTTGAGCAGAGCTTGTGTTTTTTTATGAGACTGACAAGATATTTTTACAATATCTATTTAATTAAGAAATCACAACACACGTTTTCTTAAGTAGCCGACTTGAGAGAGAAATTCGAGACTGTTGCTTTAGGGATTCAACAAGATTGATCAAAACAAAATTTATTCAAATAATGATTGCTTTACTCAATATTTATTCAAATAAAGTAAATGTAAAAAATAGTATTTTTAAATACAAATAATTCGAGGTTTAATAATCATTGTAAAATACCCGTCAGGATAAACAAATTTCTTATTGAATATCAATGTAATGTAACCAGATATATTGATCGATTTCATGGTTGATAAATAATGCATGCGTAAAACATGAAAACGGATTAAACATATGGAATGTTAAATGCACTTTGGCATTTTCCTTATGAAACGAAATATTTCAAGGGAAATGAACATTCAATTTTCACACATGTATAACACATGTTCAAATTCACCCATAAATATCTTAGACCGGTATTCAGACTTATATTTTTTGAATTTGAAAAGAGGAAGCCATCCCCAAAGTTAATCCGTTAACACCTTCAACGAAGGGTGCCTATGTGTCTAGAACATATATTTCGTCATGCTTATTATGTGTATTTCCCATAGGAAAAATCTCATAGTTGACAAGTATATGCAATTACAATCGTATTCATTTCTCATACAATCATATTCATTTCTAATAAATATGTTTCTGCATGTACTGTGCCGCGTGAGTCACGTTTCTTACTGAATTAAAATGGATTTATTGATCGATTTCATGGTTGATAAATAACTCGTGCGTAGAAACATGAAAATGGATTAAAACTATGGAATGTTAATTACATAAGTTGGGATTTTCCTTGTGAAACGAAATATTTCAACAGAAATAAACATTCAATTTTCACATACGTATAACACATGTTCAAATTCACACATAAATATCTGAGACCGGTATTCATTCAAATGTATAGAACATATATTTATTCATGCTTATAATTTTGTGTATTTCCCATAGGAAAAATCTCAAAGTTCACAAGTATATGCAATTACAATCGTAATTATTTCTATCACTCATACAAAATATGTTCATGTAATCATGCAAAACTGTATATGTTGGGAATGTTTAAGCTAAATTAAAATAAAATTGATTCATTGATATTACAGACAGATTAGTTAATGACATGTACCAATAGATTAAAGCTATGGAATATTAATTGCATACTTTAGAATTTTAACTGTGAAACGTAACATTTATTCAGAAATAAAAATTCAATTGTAACAAACACATTATCTAATCCCTCATTTCCTGTAATTGAATTGCGACAGGATGTCGGCGTCTTGGCTGGTGTGTACTCGGCTTGGGTGTTAGATTAATCATGTAATATTAGTTGACATTAACCAAATCGTTCCATTCCTGTAGGTATATAAGTAAGCAGGAACAGTTAGCTGTCATTCGTGTTTCAGAGTTTATACTAATATATACTATATACTCAGCAAACTATGGTTTGTTGCTAGGATAGTTCCTCCCTCAAACTCAATTATTAAAAACATAAATAAAATAATCTACAATTTCATCTGGGAAAATAAAAGTGAAACAATTAATCGAAACACCTTGAACCTAGAGCATAAAAATGGTGGCCTTAAAATGCCAAACATTCGACTAAAAATCCAGGCAATGCAACAACAACTTATAGTAAAAGCAATCAAAGACAACAACAGTCCCTGGTTAGGCCTATACATATACTGGCTATGATTTACTACAAGGGATACTCTGCCAAGATATGCATCCAATAATTATACCCACTCGGAAAAACTCCCCCAATCATATATAGATATAAAAGAAACTTACAATAGCCTCAAATCATCCATCAAATATACATACAATACAAAACTTAAAGCCATATACTGGTCCCTAATTGACTTATTACAGACACAACCAAAAATAAATAAACAATTACCTCATGTTGACTTTTCAAAAGTCTGGACAAACCTCTATAAATGCTCCTCCTTATCTGAAAAAGAAAAGGATTTCATGTATACAATCATCAATAATGCAGTACTAACAAAAGATATTATGCTATACAGAAATATATATACTATCAACTATAAATGCCACTATTGTAACCGAGCAACTGAATCTTACCATCATTTATTTCTGAATTTCCCCAAATTAAAATTCTATAAATGTTCCATTACTACACATATAAACAACATTCATCTCACCAAAGAATTCAAAATCAACAACAATACAATCCATCTACACAATATAAAATCTAAATACATTCATGATATATACCTATACCTATCGATCATATGGTCTAACCGAACACACCCTCTATCCACCAATATTTCACAAGAGCTTATATACCAATTCTATACAAAAAGAAAACAAAAATAAAGATTACTCTCTTAAGCTCGAGTCTTCACTACCTTATGACCCTCCTTAAGCCTAGGTTTGTGTCGTCATGTCTGAATTTATACTCTGCAACTTCTCCCATGAAATATTGACTTTGCTACTATAATAAGTAGCTACAACCATCGACATCTTCTTATATTTCTTTCGTATATGAGCACTCATTGCAATTTTTAGTAAGAATGTAGGCCTACAAGCGAAAATAACCAAACACCTGTAGGCCTACCCCATATAAATTCTGGAAAATTTTGGCTTAATTGATAAACCAATATTATACAAAAGGAAATAAAATCGAAATCACCAAGCTTCAGCCTACTCTGCCTTACCGAATTCTCCTGTATAAGGCAAGTTATCGTCCTGTATGAAGCTTCCATATTAATTACTCTACTATATGACTAAACAGACCGCGCTATTTACTTTAAGTTGTCACAACTTGACATCTTAGTCATCTTTCGTTTTCGTTAAATGGCACTATCTCACTCTGTCATATAAATAAAATACCTATACACCCACTGAAATATGTCCAACAGTAAAATAGAAATCCATTAAAAACATTTAAACACTAACTCAAGTTTTACCCGTTTGTTTTACCGCTATTCATTCACTGTAATCAACACTCACCTCTAACATTAACATAACCATCATAACATCCCACAATTCCCTATGCACGTTCTTTTTGTGCTGGGAAACATCACACTCTCTTTCAACCAGACGCTTTTCCACTACAGACTTCAAATATATTATTAGCTGTATATAAGAAAGTAGCTATAATATAGGAACTTTAATTGTATTTTGTATTATATTACCGTTTGTATATATCATCTCATATTGACTTTGTATATAACAATTGTAAATAAATAAATAATTCTACTGTATTAAATTATAAATTATCTATTGCATTGTTGGTATCCATTCAGGGGGTCAGCCCCAGAAAAAAAAAAAAAATTGCCACGCCCCTTTCTGGACATGTCCTAAAATTTGATTTTTTTTTTTTTGACTGAAGGTCGGAAAATTTGGATTGGGTATGGGTGGGGTGGGGCTTTGGTCCACCCCCCGTAGGTGGAGGGTGGTTGCGTGCCCCAAGTCGGTCGTTGATGCGCGCAAATTTGATTTTTTACTCAACCTGATGTGCGCGGACAAGATAAATTGCCTAATTTAACCTTGGAGTTGACTTTTTTCACACAAATATAATTAATGGAGATGAGTTTTTAAAGATACGCCTGTCGCCTCGCCAAAATATATTAATAAAGTGGAAAATATTCCAAGTTTACACGCAAAACAGCGAAAACGCAAGTGTCAGCGGTCTGATTCCCGTTGTATGGAGTTACCTCCCTTGAACCAGTTGAAGTGATTTTTTTGTAATTCTATCTATTAAATAGAATATATAGAAAATGGGAATGTTTTTCATTCCAAATTTGGTTCTTCATATGGGAATCAATATTGATTAATAACCATCGTTATTAAATACTTTCTAATAGAATATGAGAATGTTTTTCATTCCAAATATTGTAGTCCTACATACAGGTCAAGTTGTCGATTAACTAAGAGATTAAGCTTTAAGTAGGTCAACCCACAACTTAACACTATGTCGATTATTATTGAACATGTAGTTTACAGAAGTTACTAACGCTAGCGATCAGAAATACTTTAATTATGTTGTATTAAGTATTATAAAACAGAAAAAAATGAACAATTTCCGTTATATATTGTTTCTATCTTGTCATAGAAAATCAAAGTGTGCATGTTTTACATACATCTACGACAAGGTATCTATTAACAAAATGGCGATTATGTCTGAAGGCCTTAACTCGTGCTTGTATAGAAAATGAAGACATATATGGAGCGAAATACGTCTAAATCTCTTGAAATAAATACTTTAATTCTCTTGTAATAAATATTTTAATTCGCTTGTTATAAATATTATTTGTCGCTCGTACTTAACTCGTGCTTGTATAGAAAATGAAGATATATATGGAGCGAAATACGTCTAAATCTCTTGAAATAAATACTTTAATTCTCTTGTAATAAATATTTTAATTCTCTTGTAATAAATATTTTAAATATTTTAATTCGCTTGTTATAAATATTATTTGTCGCTCGTACTAAGTATTTAGTCACACGCACCGATTAAGAGATTAATTAGGTCAAAGCACAACTTCTTATACCTGTAGATCAATTAACAATAGGGGGGGGGGGATTAAAATTGAAGTCTTAGCGAACAGGTAGTTTACAGAAGTTACTAACGCTAGCGATCGGAAATACTTTGGTATTTTGGTTATATATTCTTCGATTTTGACAAATGCACCGATTAATGGGATTAAGTTGGTCAAACCTGTAGATTGATTACGAATATGGCGGGTTATAATTGAAGTCTTAGTGGGCGTCGTCTGCTAATAACCGATTAACAGGATTAACTGTATATATCATAGCGATTTCATAATAAAATATATAGAATTACGTTCTTCACATGGAAATCAATATTCATTAACAATTGTTTATTAAATACTGTATGTTAATTGCATACTCGTGAAATGAAATATTTCAACAGAAATAAACATTTAATTTTAACATAGTTTGTTTCACAAATAAATACGATTGTAATTGCGTATATTTGTCAACTTTCAGATTTTTCCTATGGGAAATACACATGAAGAAATATATGTTCTAGACATATTGTCGCCCTTCTACGAAAGCCTTAACGGATTAACTGTAGGGATGGCTTCCTCTTTTGAAATTCAATAAACATATTTGGTGTGAATGCAGAAAAATAAATTTTATCTGATACCTGTAATTGATTTGCGACAGCATGACGCCATCTTTGCTGGTGTGAAGTTGGCTTAGGCGTTAGATTAATCTTGTAATATTAGTTGGCATTATACAAACTGTTCCATTCCTGTAGGTATATAAGGTAAGCAGGAATCGGGTTTTGTCATTCGCGATAAACTTGTGTTGAATATAGGTTACGGTTGAGAGTCGGCTAAGTTCAGATTTTTCTATTATATTTTCTTATTATATTATTATTATATTTTATGTACTTGTATGTTATTTCAAAGTAGATGTGAAATTTTATTATAATCCGATTACATTAAATATACACTGCTTATCTTAAAGTATTCATTTGGTAATAAGTGTGATTTAATATAGTCAGATTACATTAAATATTCACATTTGAATAGGTTATATATCCAAAATGTCTGGTAGACACGCTAAGCAATGCCCTGTTTGTTTCAAGCCCTTTGTGTATATTGTTAGGCATTTGACAAGTGTTCATGATAAGAGTAAGGAAGAGGCGTTAGGTATATCCCGCGACATTGCCGCGCGCCAGTACTCAATTAATCCCAGGATTCGTCTGACGGATATTTTGCAACTGGTGCCCGGTGATGATGGCTGGGTAAGTTTCCCCCAAGTGCAGAAAATATTAGAGGCAACAGGTATCGAGGTGATAGTTAACGGTCTTTGGCCCGTTGCAATGGTTAGGCAACAGAACCCTTTTACGCTTGCCCGGGGTGTCTTGAACCCACCGGTGGAAGCAGAGGCCCAGTCAGACGAACTTGCGGTGACTCCGACCGATGTTCCCGAAGCCAACGACAACGACAATGTTGCGGCTACTCCCGATGTGGAGAGTAGTCCAGAGATAGCCCTTCGGCCCAGGCAAGCTCGCCCACTTGTGTCTGATAGCAGCGATAGTGAGACTGAAAGCGAGTCTGAAGACGACGTCGAAACAAGGTATTTGTTGAGGGGTGATACCTATAGGGGGCACACTTTGGTTGGTCGTATCCGTGCGATGCGAAAGGATGCTGGATTGGCAGAAAGAATAGCCTGGACCACAGAGGCCGACAAGGGCGATCCCCACTTATATTCATTTTTCTCGCATTTAATGCTATGTAAGGCCGGAAAGAAAGAAAGAAGTGTAACAAATAAGGTAAACCAGATTTCAAAATTACTCCATTTCATCCAAAAGACCCATGAAATGGGTACGAGTAGCGCAGACCCGAAGTGTCTGTATCAACAGGATACATTCAATAATTATTACGATAGGCTTGCGCACGATCTCGATGGCACGGGAAATGGATACGGCCTGCAGCCGACAGCCATGAAAAATGAGCTGCAATCGGTTAAACTTTATTTGACATATTTATTAACTAGCTGCAATTACCATGTTTCCGACCCGGGTTTTAAGGAACACGCCAAGATAATGCTGGAAGGCATGGCGGTGATGGTTAAGAACAACTATAGTAGGATAGCCGTCGCAAACACGCAGCGGCAAATCCAATTACAGACCGAAGTGGTCAAATATGATATTAATCAGATGAGGGAAGAGCTGGCGCGAAACGTTGAAATCAACGATCGATTGAAAACGATTCGTGACAAACTGGCTCGCAGCGGTGTTAGAAATGACAATATGAGTGATTATATTTTTATAACGAGATACTTGTTTGTCAAACTTCAGCTGCATGGTATTCAAAGGGTGGGGGTGACCGAGGGTCTAACCCTACGAGAATTTTATAACGCAAAGGCACGCGTGAATTCGCACGGAGAAGACGTGTTTCTTCTGTTGATAAACCCTCACTCCGCAGGCACGATTGTGATCCCAGCTGATTTGTACTCCTTGATGGACTTCTATTTGAAGAGGTTCCGACAGAAGGACGACCCCAAGACGAAATGTTCTAACACGTTCTTCCGTCAATGGGGCTCCCAAACGGAATACGTGAGTGTGGCCAATAACATAACACAGTTTAGACTAAGATACGGCTTAACCGATATTAATACCACTACTTGCCGCCACGTCGCCCAGTTAAAGAGCAAAGAGGGTGGGATTAACCATGAGCACGTTCAATCGTGCACGGCAATGGGACCCAATGAGGCCGCATTCGCCGCATTGGGAAACATTATTGAGGGCAGGGACAGTAAAAAGCAGCCGGCTACTTCCTCTGGGGTCATGACTGGCGGCGACCCCCGTGTTGTGAATTCGGGGGCTAGTACTTCTGGTGCTAGCCCACCCGAGTTAGAACGACGCACGCCCCCTCCGCCGGAGGCTGGTTATTGTGATGGTAGCTCGTCGGGCACTGCTACTCCCCCTCCCCCCGAGTTAGAACGATGCCCGTCCCTATTGCCGGTCTGTTCCTTCCCTTCCGCATCTTCCGTTGGGTCGGATATGTTGTCACTTGATCAGATTATCAAGTTGTTGCAGGAGGCCCTATTTGAGGCATATCCTGTTGGTCCCTACGGGTCCGTGCCTACCAGGGCCATGGCCGAGGCCGTGTTCAAGGTTAAGGATTATTACAGTCAAGTTTCCGTAGAGAAAAAGTCGAAAACGCTGAAAAATCTGACGTCAAAATGGCGCGAGGCACAGCACAAAGCCCGCGGTAGGCATTTTGTGGACACTTTTCCACATATTAA